TGACACATACAAGTCTACCAGCACATCTATTCAAATCTCTTCACCTGTCCCATCCAGAAAGCTATAACGTCTATCTGATAGGATCTCGCCTATGGGGAACAAACACTGTCACAAGCGATTGGGATCTTCTAGTCGTGGGAGATGTGCCATCAGCGCAGCTCACTAGCCTTCACAAGTCTCAATATGACATCACACTGCTTGATCGACAAGAGTTCACAGCTCGGGTGAAGCAGGGATCCATTATTGAGGTTATCTGTGCTCTAATGCGCAAAGAAGACATGCTGCAGTGCGCTTTTGATATTGGAAATCTGCTAGTGGATCCAGACGCTATAAAGACGTGGCTGGAAGCACGACAAGTCAAAGATTTAGAGAAAGCAGAGAAATTCTGGCTCAAGGGAAATCGGCAACTAGGCTGGAAGATTCTCAGGCACATTCTTCACGCGAGAGCTCTCTACAATCATCTTGTTGTCGCCCTTCGCGAGAAACAAGTCACTCTCACCGTCGATGCTGTACAAACTATCGTACGTTCAGCTACACTACTAAGTGACAAGGGTTGGATGCAGCTAGACTGGTCGAACGTGCACGCTGCTGTCATCGATGCATTGACGCGTTTATAACGTGTTTTGATTTTTTCGAGTGTTTTTAATAAACCGTAATATAAGAGTGAAAATGTATAGAAAATACATCTTTTATTTTGCAAACTTTTGCCTCTTTACTAGTAACATTATAAGGCAAATCAGAAATTTCTAGAATTAGAACAACATTTCGACTATTATAGAATCCACGATAAGTCAGATCTCGTCGAGTAGTCGTTGTTTCTATGACGAATCATAAGAACTGTTGGTTTTCTTGCGAAGCCCATCCAAAATGTTTTACTTTTGAATAAGATTTTATTCAAAAGTGAATACTATTGACTTTTTATAACATTTTTTCGATTGTTTATATTGACTCATTTGAGGTAAAAACGATGTCATCGATGTATCCAGTGCATATAAAGAAAATAAGTATCATATTTCATTGTTTTGTTAGAAATCTTACCGTCCAAACATCTCTTTTGATGCTACTTAGGGCATACCAAGAGTCTTGACGGAGGTATATCAATTTCTTATAGAATGCTTGAAGAACATTTATTTTTATATAGGCTGATAGTAAAAACAAAGCTCTACATTTCTACACTATTTGATCACTATTCATCTAATATCATAATAATAAAATTTCCATTAGACTTGTTTAGCTATGCTATGTAACAATAACATCAGCCAATATTGGCTTCAATGTGGGTGTGGATGTATATGCGGTTGAGCGTGAGTGTAGATGTGACTATGTGTTATGCTCATACACAGAGCCCACACTCACACCTGCCTTCACATCCACCACCCACACCCGCGCCGACACCCATAGCTACACCCACATCGAAGACATTATTGACTAATGTTATTGTTACATAGCATAGCTAAACAAGTCTAATGGAAATTTTATTATTATGATATTAGATGAATAATGATCAAATAGTGTAGAAATGTAGAGCTTTGTTTTTACCATTAGTCTACATAAAAAGAAAAGTTCTTCAGGCATTCTATAAGAAATTGATATACCTCCGTCAAGACTTTTGGTATGCCCTAAGTAAGTCAAGATAGTCAATGACTCTTCTTGCGGTAAGATTTTATACAGATTAGTTATATCGAATTTCCACAAAAGAGTTGGGGTTTGGATGTGAGGAAGTTCGTTTGGGTAAACAGAAAATACACACTCACACTCCTTTCTTCAGGAAACGTAGCGATGATTAGTGAGAAAGTGTGTTGTTAAAAAGTATTTTCGGGATACGAAAAGAGCGTCAAATATCTGATGTTAAGACGCCTCTATTATGAACTGTAGGATCGATATTTTCTGAACAGATGAGAAAAATAATGTTGCGAAACTGATTAAAACAAGATTATGCAAAGTAGACAATGGAAAAAGATAAAATTGTAGAACTTTATTACAATGCTCCACACATAACAAGAACCTGTAAATGTAACACCCAAAAATACTATAGGAGAAGAAATGTCTTCTAAAACGGAGAGGATTTTTGCTGTTATGGTCTATGATACATTTCTATTTATCTACATCGGCAAAATTATTATTGACATCATTTTTCCATGCATTCATAAATTTCTCTTTCTCCTTCGTTTCAAGTAGAAAGGCAACTTCTGCCCCATTACGATCTTGTGTAATCCATCGGGTGCCATCGAACACTGGATTCAGGTGAAATACTCGAAGATACAGTACACCCGTCCATAGTGTATGGAAACGACACTGATCTGTGTGACCAAAATCAACTAGATTTGCCCAATCATATCTCAAATTTGAGTTGACAGCAATCTCATTCGCAGAGGGACAAATATTAGCCACTCGTTCCTCTCGTGCCATCCTTCGCATTAATCTATCGGCAGTCGCTAACCAAGTTTCCAGAAAGTTAGCATCACGGGATTTAATAATCGACCGACGAATAGTCTTGGCAATGTTCTCCAGCGAATACGGGTCGTCAAAATCATCCGATAACATCATGAGTACAGCATTGGCAATTAGACCTTGTGGTGCAATTGAATCAGCAACACCGCGAAAGTTCACAGCAGTGTCAGTGCGTAAGATCCGATGATGATCATCATCTTGAAAACAATGCACATTCAATGTGCGAATGATGTAGGCAGTCAGTGCATCTTGAATGGTTACACAATTATCTCCTGCTAGCATTCGTAATTTTATGAGCTGTTCACCTGTAAAGTGTAAATTCAGTTGATCATGGGTCATTTGCTCATCCATAATCGCTTGAAACATCTGTTCGGCTGGTCCACCGTCGCGTAACGGCTTCATCACGTTCAATAGAGACTGATTCGCTTTACTGTCATCCCAGAGACGTCGTTCAAATATTGGTAATGGTTCGAGTGGCTTCAATCGTTGATATATTCTTGAAACTGTCGTTAAGAAACACAAACAAGACATAGCATCGCCCAAAACATGTGCCCAACTAATACCCAAAATACATTCACCACTTTGTACGAGACGCGTCAATTTTAGTCGAATTAGGGGCTCTTCCGACGAACCACGCAGTAGTTTGTGGATTGGAACTTCGTCGACAAACGGTTCCAATGTATGATAACGTAGATCAACTACCACTTTGGAATCGAATGGCCATTTAAGTAGATCAGTATTCTCGACTAATGACAATGGAATGGAATTGTCAGACATTTCAATAATATAGCGATCACCGTCTATTAAGAGAAAACGACCGGCAATAAGTGGCCACAAACAGAGGGCGCGATCAAGTGCTTCTTTGAGTTGATCAACATTCAAATTTTCCGGATACACAAATACGTTGTCTATTTGATCCATTAACCAGAGATCGGTACCGGGCAGTTCGATACGACGTTTTTTTCCTGTCGGATTTGATGCGGACACAAGAAATGAGGATGTCATGCCTATGATTGAAATTTCAGTGGACAATTTTTAACCAATATGATTCAGTGTGTTTCAAAAATATCTTTCTTGACAGAAAAAGCCGATTAAAAACAACAAATAGAAATCTATTCAATAATGACACTGATGCGTAGAAGTTGTAAATTATTGACAGTCGAATTGATCTTGGAACAGTTGAAAAGTAAGGAATAGAGAGTGCACTCCGAATTCGACTAAAAGTTGACGCTGATCAGTAAAATGATTTTGAATACAATGATTTTATTTTCATAAGAAGGAACAAATACAGCCAAAGTGCGTTCTGGACAAATATCAAGCAATATGAGTATTAGAAACACAGATTAGTAAATACGTCTTCTTTCTTTCTTTCTTTCATTCTTCTCTTTTTAATGGCAAATGCGTCGTCAAACAATTTTCTATCCTTCTCATATTATTACAATCATATTACCCAAAACAGTAAGATAGGGCGTTTGAATTCACATAATGGGCACCGTATAACATTTCGGTTTGATTGACATTCGAAATTGTTAGATGGCATCAGCTCTCAGGTGTCGTCTTTTTCTTCCTATCAGTTTTGTGACGCCATCATATATATATGTATTCCATCCACATCTTCTTTCGTTCTGTTGTCGTGCGTGAATACATATATGCTCTCTGTTCCAGTATGTTCCAGTGTATTCATTCTCTTTTCCCTAGACTGAAAGGCTACGGTCTAGAAACGGAAATTCACCTGTGTCTGTCTGTCTGTCTGTAACACTTGGTACAAATGACCATTTTCGTGGTACAACGTGCCAGTCTTGGTGCAAGTGACCATTTTCATGGTACGGAGTACCGTAGTCGTGGTACAGCTGACCATTTTCATAGTACAAAAGTACCGCTTTGGTGGTACAGGGGATCATTTATTTGACACAATTGACCATTTTCATTATACAGATGACCGTTTGTATGACTCAATTCAGTATTTTCACGGCACAATCAACCATTTCTATGGCAAAGTTAATCATTCTTATGGCTCAAATGAGCAGGTCAGTTTCACAATTGACCATACCCGTATTAGAAATGACCATTACTTAGGCAAAATTCACCATTTTTTGGTCATTATAATTAACTAAGGCATCAACTTTATCATATACATTAGCATGTTTCGATATTTTATGTCAAGTATTTGAATGCATGTATAGTATGTAATATAGAAAATGTTGAAAATATTAATAATTTCTCCTAAACTCATCATTATAGAGAATTCATTTCTATTTAAAAATATAAGAACATCTTTGTCATCATTCCGTCAGTCTAGGGCCAAGTGAATCGACATACAATGTCGATGAACGTTACTTGTCTCTATTAATCTTGTATGTTCTCCCTAGTACTCTCGTGTGAGTTCTGGAATTTCTAGTACCTTTCACTACATTTCTTTTGTTCCGAACCCATTTATATATATACCCGTCCGCTCGCAGCAATAAAGTTGATTGTACATACACATTAAGATAAACTTCTCTCTGACTACAAGTGGTTAGTGGTTGACTACCTTCACAAAATAAAACATTCGTTTTGCAATGAACAATGAACAAATCATCCCTCGTGATAGTGAGAATGAATTGTATCTATTTTTATTGCATTTTTCGATAGAACAACCAAACATGTTCTACGTTGAGATGTACAGCCAGGTCGATGATTTCGGCCTCCGGATCCGGTCGGAACCAGCAGGAATCGTCGTATTTTTTGCCCAATTCCCACCGGTTCCAGCGTTATTTCCGCCGGAAACGGTCGGAAAATAACCGGAACAGGGTGGCAGTATTCCGGCCGGAAAGTCTTCGTACCCGGAACCGAGCTATTCTGACAGATTTCCGCTCACCGGAAAACACCGGAAACCACGCCATATCCGCACGGAAACAGCAGTACCTTGCAGGAAACAATAAAGGAAAACACCGTACCCTTCAGGAACCACAGCGGAGATACACCGTATCCGGTCCTCATCGGTAGGATGTGACCTTACTCCAGAAAGATCTTTTAGGACCCCAATCTCCTAAATTCCTTGATACAGTCCCAAAATTAATCGAAACACACAGGAAACTCCACTAAAGATCCTCAAAGACTTTTTATTAATACACCTGTCACAGTCTCAACAATACATTAAAATCAAAGTAAAGTCTCAAACAGATGTTTAAAGATCTTTTTCTATTAACACAACTGTTACAGCCCGAAAAATACCTTAAAATTAAAGTAAAGTCTCAAAAAGACCTTTAAAGATCTATTTTTATTAAAACAACCCTTACAATCCCAAAAATACCTTAAAATGAATGTACAATCTCAGAAAGATCTTCAAAGACGTTTCTCACTGAAATAGCTGTCACAGGCTCGAAAAATGCAGAATAGGTAACCTTTGAAAAAACATCGAGTGGCTTTCCCGTGCACGACTCTTCTCTTCCCGTGTTGCTTGCTGGTAATGGAATCTCGTAACTGTGCTGCTTATCTGAACCTCGGCAAATGACTGTCGGTATTGGAATAGATTGAAGCATGTGTGAACGCTAGTTGTGTTTATGGGATCAATGGAAGCGTTCTGTTCTTTGTTGTCCTACCATCAGGTCTCTCATACAATTGCTATCTACTGGGACAGTCGAATGACCTCTAGTATGAGGTGCACTCCTATTTATAAGGAAGACCATGTCTTAAAAAGACTCAAAAAATCTGATTTTAATCGGATTAATAATACTCAACAATCGATTTTTAATGCATGTTAGTCCTGAGTGGGTTCTCACTCGAATGAACTGTCATGTGCGATGCACTGCTATTTATGCGGAGTACCATGTCTTACAAAGATTCAAAAAATCTGATTTCAATCGGACCAATAATACTCAAGAATCGATTTTTAATCGATGTTACTCCTACCTGTTTTCTAACTTGAATGAACTCTATCATGTGCTGCACTCATATATATAGGGTGGGTCTAGTCTCAAAATGAATGAAAAAAGATTTTTTTTAATCGGATTGTTAACATCCAAAAGAAGGATTTTTAATACATGTTACTCCTACCTTATTTGTAACTCTAATGAACTCTAACAGGTGCTGCACTCATATATATACGGTGAATCGAGGGTGTGAGTATGGGTGTAGGTATATTCTTTATCCACACCCACCCACACCCCACACCCACACTCACCCACACCATCCGAGTCCTATCTTGTTGTGTCCTTTGACCGGATCCGAACTTCACAGCCGAATTTCAAACGGTCGGATCTAGGCTTCGGAACCAGACAGGAAACGACCGTATATAGTTCGTATCCTGTTGCCGTCATAAAACGCCGGAACCGCATTCGGGAACCGCACCGGAAACAGGTATCCGTATCCGAACATCGTCTTCGGACTCCGGAATTGATGGGAACTAAGCCGGAAACGGAGGTCGGGACCGATTTGGGAATCCTGCACCAGAAATTCGCTGGAAATTCACCAGATCCGGTGGTTTTTCGCCGTACGTCTTTGACCTGGGCAGCTCGATTGTGCAAGTATACTACTCTACTAATAGTGCTTTCTATATTTTTCTTGAACATGTAGTAAAAACTTTGTGAGAAGTTTTTTATGCAGATGTTGGAGACTTCGGCGACAGAAATAATTTTTTCCGTTAAAAAATGAATAGGTCCTAAAAGACTGCATGATGTATTTTGATCGTCACATATTCGATTGAGACAAGCTAGTTGAGAATTTTATCAACGATGAGCGATAAAGAGTCTATAAAATTCAATCCATTGCTTATGATTTGAGGATGAGGATGAGGGTTAGTGCTAAAATATAAATCGAAGAGTTTAGAAATAAGTAATTATGTAACCTGCCCACATGGTACATATGAATTCAGATCAATGCATTCACAAAGATATATCTCGATAAACACGAATGACTGGTTAAGTAAAGATCATAAAATCAGAATCAAGACTGAACCTACATCGTCCGATAACAGGTCGGCTGCTTTATCATTTAAGCTTCTTAGAGTTTCTCCTCTAGTTCCAGATGAGATATGTCAAAACACATTTTTTAGGACATGAGCAATCAATTTCTATTCATTGTGATGACGAGAATTGTTGATAGTGAGTTTACAGTGAAGAGGATTCATAGCATAAAATGACGTGTGTTGATCTTTGCTAGAGATCATCATCAAGTATATTCAGAATCATAATTGCACCAATTAGTCATTAACAAAATTGATATTGATACGGAAGAAATAGTATGAAGGTGAAGAATGATCATGTGTATCATTACAGTTATATTTTGTATACAACTAGAGAGAAGAGAAGAAGATTGAGAGAGAAAAAAGAATAGATAAGGATAATAACAAGAATCGAAAGGAAGCAGAAAGAATAAAGAGAAAAGAAAGAGAAAGAGAGATCGAGGGTATTTATTTACGGCCGCGGTAACACTTCGTTTTAAAAAATTATTTCCCCACTATTCAGAATCCAGATATACTTGCGTGACGGAACTCAACTTGTGATTAAAAGTACTAACTCATATGGAACGTTAGAGCTTTTCGAATGTAAATGACACAACTCGCCTTCGGTTCTTGTAGCTTCCTTCATATGCAATACACCTCAAATAACATATAGATTGCTGAGTCTATCGTTCTTTACTCTAACCTTGCTAGTTGGTTCAGAAACCATTTTTCAATCGAAACCACATCTTCAGGCCATATGCATAAATCTAATAAACAATCTGACTTTACAATTTATTCATAAGATTCAGAATCATAGACTTTCTGTCATTGTTCAATGCATGCTCGCCCGTTATGTCTTGTTATGTCAGAGCAATATCTTATTCTTTGAATTTTCGATATTCGCAGATACATTAGATGATAGTTTTTGAATCATGGTTAAAATACATTTATGTTTAGTTCGATACATTCAATTACTCTTTACTCGATTTCATATGCTTTCACATTCTGACAATAAACATATTTTTGAGAGTTTACCAGTTATCCGGGAGTCTGGGTTCGTGGGGGTGAGTAACGATTTCATGAA